GCCGCCGCGATAGCGTTGTTCGATTAACTCTGAATATTTTTGCAACTTGGCGGTACGAGAATTTATCTCCAGCCTCACGCGATTCAATATATTCAATCGCTTCTTGAATTGGATCCATGGTGGTTGAGTTATGCCGCGTTGAAGATGGGACGACGCGCAATGTTGGGATGGTGGGGTGGCTCGTCACGCGAAGTGGCTCGTCACGCGCACGGTTACTGTATCCGTCACGTTACTCTAAAATGCGATGTCATTCATGCAGTCGGCAGCACCGTTCACCCACGATTTTCTAGTATACTACAAATACAATCCGCGTAACAAATGATAGCATTCATAATATTATATTGAAGTTACAAGGCTGCAAGATTACCAACTGCGTAGAATTTCATCGATTTGAGTTGGGTGATGACCTGTGTGCAGGAGTACCCATGTTTTTGTCCACCAGGTGGTAAAGTAAGTATCCCAATAACGTGGTGTTCCTGAAACTTGTGAAAAGTAAGCTACTCACGATTCCAATCAGATGATCTACAGGGAGACATTGCCACACTTATTGATTGATTCATCAAATGAAAGTAAATCCCAGCCTTGCATCGCATAACAATATGATTGGTTGAGCAGCCGTGATCGTGCCCAGGTCTCTCTCTACCGATCATGCAGTCATTGTCACCCATGGTTTCCGCTGCGCTGGCTGCGAGGGCCCTTAGCATTCGTGCACTAATGGCTAGCTTAACCAGTAACCCTTATGATGAGTTGCCAGATTATAGGGGTCGACATGCTAGAATTCCTTTTGCCCTCAGCCGCTTCCGCGGAGATTTGATGGCTGACGCCATTAGTTCGCTGGTGTACATAAAACATTACTACCAGGGCTTCTTGACGGAAAGCACAAACGCAAAATGAACGTCTCCACCACTGCAAATACTAATGTCGTAGCGCCATGGGGTTATGATCTGTTACCTTCTCAGAAAGACGTACGAGCGCAATGGAAATTCCAACTCTTTGGTTCGATAGTTGTGTGCGTCTTCCTATATCTGTTGGCTGCGATGCAATATGCTAATACAATTTGTTCAGGGGTGGATATTATTGGGAGTAAGTGTTTCCTACTACCTTATATTCCCTGAATTGAAAAGCTAGATCCTAATCTGAGTTCGTAGTACCATTGTATCTTTCCCGAGAGACTTTCAATTCATTTTCCAGCGAAGGTTCAATTATGCGACAGTTCTTTTCATCGTTAATAGGTAACATAATATTACGTTCTTCGTTCTTCGCCCTTTCAGAATACTTACTGACTCAATAGGGTCGCCTGCATTATCACACTAACAAACATTTGGCTTTTTGCAGTCTATACTGGCAACCTGTGTTTGGTCGTGTATAAAATTGCAGGTATTTTAGAACCAGTTACGATATTCACATCACAAGCCTTGTTGTTAATCAGGTATGTACCCTCTATCTGAAAATTATGCTGCCATCTATGTATTAGAATCTTGACGTGCTTTTAGGGTCCGGGTTCTCTACCGAGATAATTGGTATCTCTTGACATTCATGATTCTTTTCTTGTGAGATTAACTGGTCATCATGAAATTTGTTGTTTCTAATTCAACATCAGATTCGCTGGTCCGGTATTGGCTCTAGTGGAGGCCTTTAGAACAACCGCATTCAATCTTCCGGGAAACGTTGGTTGTATGTTCGGACTATCTTCACCTTATATATTCCTGGTCTTTCTATTGCAAGCCTCGTTCGACTGTTTGTGTTTCATACTTTGCATGTACAAGGTGAGCTACATAAAGGGACATTTTACCTCCGAGATAACTATGAATTTGCATCGTAGATAGCTAATCTCACGTAGCTATTTAGAGTTGGACAGGGAGGCGGATTCATGAGCATTGGAAAGGAAATGGTCAATGGTGGTGTAAGTGGAATACACCTCGTGAACGTCACTTCATAACATATTTATCTAACCTATTACCTAGCTGGTCTACTATATCCCCAATGTCGTTATTCAGATCGCAACAATCATTTTGACCTCACAAAAGGGCATCGAAGACCAGTTCATTTTACCACCAGCGGCAGATGGGATTGCTTCAGCTCAAGCTCTCAGAATTACACGCAACCTCTGGAGGAGCGGGCAGATCCAGAAATACCAGATAGAAGACCCAATGAGCTTAACTGCCATAGGTTACAGGGAAGGATCTTTCCCTGATGAAGATCGCAAAGCAGAAGATCATCGGGTATCGCCGTCAGAAGGTAATGATTTCCGCAACGTGAAGATGACGCCATTGGCATCACGCTAAGGCATAGGCGCGTGGGGAAAAATCACTACTGTGCATAGTGTGGGGAAAAGCGTGCATAATACTCTTCGCGGTAATAGTCCCCGAAGATTTTCAAAGTTGGTTAAATCAAGTACGAAAGTGGAATAGACCAGAGTACCTTTAACCGCGAGCCTCGAACAAAATCCCTCAAGCATGATGAGTGAAAATTTCACTTCTAACATTACTCTACGCCTACGTTGTGATGCGAAGACTGACAATTGTGCTATTAGCTTGGTCGCGGCTTGCGGCCAGCCAGTCCAACTATTCAAAGTATGTAAATCCATTCTGGGGTACTGAAGGGCCGATACCAAATTACACTTTTGGCGGTGGTGCCGTTTTCGTGGGAGCAGCGGTGCCGTACGGTGTGGTCAAATTGACGATGGATACGTATGTCAAGAACACGAGCATTGCAGCGTTGCAAGGTGGATATACGCCAAATGGTCTCATTACGGGTTTCTCGATGATGCATGAGTCTGGCACAGGGGGATGTTCCAAGTACGGCGTTATTTCGCAAATGCCCCTCACAAACATCGAAGCACCAGTCAATCTCTTGGATAATCGCACGTACTGGCAGGAACGTGTTGGGCAAGACCATGCAAGCGTGGGATATTTCCGAACGAGCCTAGAAAATGGTGTCACAACGGAACTGAGCGCAACAAGACACGCAGGAATCTTACTTTATGAGTTTCCCAAAGATAAGAAGAAGCATGTCCTTGTCGATGTGTCGCACTATCTTCCAAATGTTGTTGGAGGCTATTGCACTCAAACGTTCCGTCAAGGCAAGATCGATATCTCGCAGGATCGCAAGAGCTATCGAGGTTATGGAACTTATGCCGGAGGATTCAATGAGGGTGCGCCGTACACAGTTCATTTCTGTGGCGAGTTCGAGACAGCCGCAGATGAAGCAGAAACGTTCGCTGGCCGTAACCAGTTCCCTGGTTTCAATGCTCTAAACCCAGAGCCTCTCCCGTGGCCTGTATTTGCCTCAGAGAATATAACTACTCCACAAGGCTCACGCGTTGGAGCAGTATTTACATGGAAAGGGACTCAGACGACGATTCGTTCCAAGATTGGGATATCGTTCATTTCAGAAGAAAAAGCCTGCAGATTTAGAGACGAAGAGATTGAGAGCTGGGACATACAAGATACAGTTGATGCAGCAGTGGAAGAATGGAACCGCGAGGTTTTCAGCACGATTCGGGTGGACACAGGAAATCACATCAACCAAGAGCACCTCACCCTGTTGTACTCATCGCTCTATTTCATGCATCTCATTCCATCTAATCGAACCGGCGAAAACCCCCTCTGGCAATCGGAAGAGCCGTACTGGGATGACTTCTACTGCTTATGTTGGTCCACCATCTCAACTTTGCTTATCGCATAATAACCACATTGACTAGGGGATACTTTCCGTAACACGATAAGCCTTTCTCATTTGATTCAAACCGATGCATACGAATCCCAAATCCGCTCACTCATCGATATCTGGAGAAATCAAGGTTACATGCCAGATGGGCGCTCGGGAAATGACAACGGTCTAGTACAAGGCGGCAGTAACTCTGACAACGTGCTTGCGGACGCTTATGTGAAGGGTCTCCGTGGCAAAATAAATTGGGCAGACGGCTTTGCTGCTATGGTAAAGAATGCAGAGATACCTACTAATGGCAGCAACAAAGAGGGGCGGGGTGCAGGCGGAGATTGGCTACAGTACGGATATGTCAGCTCTTCTATGCCCAGGAGCATATCGCGAACTGTTGAGTATTCACTAAATGATTTTGCTCTGAGCCAAGTAGCAAAAGGCGAGAAACCTGATGATGTGTCAAGATATTTGAAGCGATCGGCAGGGTGGCAATTACTCTGGGATCCCAGTACACATAGCGTGAACGCTTCGAAAGACTTCAGTGGCTTTCTTACTCCAAAGGACAGGAATGGAAAATTCAACCAGACTGACTACAATCCAGCAAAATGTGGGGCTTGCTCATGGTCGTCAATCACTTACGAAGGCACACCTTTCGAATACTCTTTCACTATTCCTCACGACATGAAGACACTGATTGAGAAGATGGGTGGCCCTCAAGGTTTCGAGGAGCGCCTTGATTATATCTTTGTCCCATACACTAGCCAAGCCGACCTTGGGCCGAATGGTGCAGGAATCAATACTATTATGAACATCGGGTAATAGAGTGCCTCTAATGCTTCAATAAGCCTCAATTGGAAGCAATGCTAACGGATGTCTTCAGCAACGAACCAGACTTCGCTACACCTTATCTATACAACTATCTCAACAAACAGTGGAAGTCGGTGAATCAATCACGCTCACAAGCTAAACAGTAGTACGTTTTCAGCCTCACGTTGCTTCCAAGGAGGTGTGTGTTCACTGATCATTCAGCTTCCGCAACACCACGAATGGTATGCCTGGTAATTCGGATGCTGGGGCTTTGAATTCTTGGTTGATCTGGCAAATGCTGGGTCTCTACCCAATTGTGACACAACCGGTGTACCTTCTCGAGTCGCCTTGGTTCAGCGATATCAACATGACAATTGGTAGACACAAGACCTTGCGGATTACGGCGAATGGGCTAGCCGAAGATAGCTTCTATGTACAAGGCGTGAAGATCAACGGAGTTCAATGGGATCGAAACTGGTTCACCCATGATGACGTTTTCCATACGGGTGGTACCATCGAATTCGATCTTGGCAAGGAACCTGTAGTGTGGGAGAAAGGCGATGTGCCGCCTAGCCCAGGAAATTTGGGTTGACAATATTGTATTGAATCTCTTCGAACTATAAAAAGAGTGATACGTAGTATCATCAGCGATTGCTTTCGCTTTAGAAGCCAGAAGTGAAAGAGTGATGGCAAGCAATGTTTTCTATAGCATAGTTCCGATCTTAGAGAAAGAATACAGATCGAAATAGACGGTTATCTGTGGTGACGTTCTGTCTAGGATTGAGGTTAACATTCGGAAGGTGAACGACAGGCGTCGGAGTTCTTATACGTACTAGTGCAGTAACTATAGTCTTTTACTAAGGCAGTATAAGTAAAAACTTCAATAAGCCTTGGACTGGTCTAACTAACTAGAGCTAAAATAGCTCACACTCTGAGTTCTGGAAGCTTAATAGACGGCAAAATCAAGCCATATTCTACCTGTCAGCTCCTAGTGATTAAACCCAAGGTTATTAAGACGAAAGATACGGAGGCGGCTGTCAAAAGTATTTACCAGCAGAGATGCCCGTGATACTACTATAATAACAGTAGATCTTGCCTGATTAGAATTACGCTTGTTGTTAAATACTTATAGTAAGCTACGCTTATATGAGTAAAAGCACGTCATTATATTATGTGCCTACGTTATGACGTTTAGTTAGGACCTTATTTGTATGAAGAACGTAGAAGTAGAGGTATCAATAGAAAAGTATTGTTTAATTACTTGACACTCTTTATCTCTTTTCTACAAAGTACTTGGTTGGAGAAGAACATAACGTGTATCACCAGTGTGCGCCCCACCCCAGTGTGCGCCCCACAAAATCCTAGTACCTCACCTTCGTAATAGTATTACGCAACACTACCACTATTTTTATTATTAAGTAGAATAAGATATTATTTAATAGACTCGTCGCTATCCTCTGTATCCTCTA